CTTCGGTACAATCAATGACTTTCCTGCTTATGGCAATCTGTCAGGGTATAGCATTAAAGGGCAACTTGGATGCCTTATTTGTGAAGAGGGAACACATTCTATGAGGCTTCAACATGGGATGAAGAATGTTTACCTCGGCCACCGTAGGTTTTTACACCAAGAACATCATTATCGGTGGTTGAGAAAAGCGTTCAATGGAAATCCAGAAGAAGGTAAGACACCTTTACCGTTAACTGGTGATGAGTTGTTTAAGAAGATTAAGGATTTGGATATTGAATTTGGCAAACCATTTGCAAGGTACCTTGGGACAACTGGATGGAAGAAGAGATCTATTTTCTTTGAACTCCCTTATTGGACCACCTTAGATATTCGGCATTTTCTTGATGTCATGCATATTGAAAAAAATGTCTGTGAGAGTCTTATTGGGACTTTACTCCAAGTGTCAGGAAAAACAAAAGATGGCATAAAAGCAAGGTTGGACATGGTCTCTTTAGGAATAAGAGAAGAATTAGCACCCCAAGATAAGGGGAACCGTACCTTTCTCCCTCTGGTGGCTTATACGCTATCTAAGAAAGAGAAAACTGCATTTTGTGAGTTCCTTAATGTAGTTAAAGTTCCTCAGGGTTACTCTTCAAACATAAAAAATATTGTATCAATGAAAGATTTGAAGTTGAAGGGCTTAAAGTCTCACGATTGCCATGTTTTAATGGAGGATTTCATTCCAGTTGCTATACGTGCAATTTTACCCCTTAAAGTACGAGGGACGATCACTAAGTTATGTTTGTTTTTCAAGTCCATTTGCAGTACAGTGATTAACCCACATAAGTTGCCAAGGTTGCAAGCTCGAATTGTATTAACACTGTGTGAGCTTGAGATGTATTTTCCACCGGCATTCTTTGATATTATGATCTACCTAACTGTTCACTTGGTTAGGGAGGTTCATATGTGCGAGCCTGCTTATTTAAGATGGATGTATCCTATTGAGTGCTATATGAAGATTTTGAAAGGCTATGTGAAAAATCAAAGTCGACCGGAGGGTTGTATTGTTAAACGGTATATTTGTGAAGAGGCTGTTGACTTTTATACTGAGTGCCTGAGTCATATTAGCTATGTTGGGCTTCCAAAGTCTCGACATATGGGTAGAATAAGTGGAGAAGGGATCATGGGAAACAACGTCATTACTATGTCAAGTGTACAGTGGGAGCAAGCCCACTTATATGTGTTGCACAACACTGAAGAAGTTGAAGAGTATGTAGACAAGCATATGGCTGAACTTAGGAGGGACAATCTCAATAAATCAGAAATTTTGGTATGCTAGGGAACACAACAAAACTTTTACAAGATGGTTTAAGGAGCACATTCTTCAAAAGTTAAATGTTAATTCCAATTCAGTTTCTAACAAATTGAGATGGTTAGCTAACGGTCCAAGTAGACAGGCCATTTCTTACACTGCTTACCTTGTCAATGGATACACATTTTATACAAGGGAGCAAGATGATAGGAGCACAATGCAAAATAGTGGTGTAACTCTTATAGCTCATTCCATGTATATTTTCAGCACTAAGGATAAAAATCCTATCTATGCAAACATGTCATACTTTGGTGTAATTGAGCATATATGGGATTTAGATTACATATCCTTTTGAGTTCTAGTCTTTGGGTGCAAGTGGATTAATCGAAAAAATGGCTTGAAATTTAATTATCAATTTGGCTTTGTACAAGTCAATTTAAACAAGGAAGGGTATAAGGATGAGCCTTTTATTTTAGCGCAACAAGCCAAACAAGTGTTTTATATCCCTAAACCTGCTAATAAGGGGTGGTCTATTCTTATGTTACATGAAAAAATAAATGAAAATGTAGCAATTGAAGATGACCCATTCGAAGGGACATCAAATCAAAGTAACGACACTGTTGATGAAGCTCTATACATGAGAAATGATCATAATGAAGGCATTTGGATTTTAAAGAGGGGTAAATTATTTCAGCATAAGAAGAAAATATTTCAAGAAGGGGGAAGTAAAAAACCCAAGTTAAGGAAACGAAAAGGAGCAACTTGAACATGTAACCTTTGAATTAATTATGCCATTTTTGTTTCATGTTTGAATTAATATAGTCAATTATATTTGAATTAATCATGGTTGATTAATTTTGGAATTTTATTGTGTTACAGGTAAATGGCTTCAGATTCTGAGTCCACTGAAATTCCTCCATCAGATCCCGCTACAACTTCTACTGATGCTCCGTTGTCACAAAAAAAATTGGAACAGGAATATTACAATATCCAGCAAGGCCTAACAATAATGGAAGAAGTCACAAAAACAAGAGCAGCAGGGAAAAAAATATCAGTGCAATGGAACAAGAAAGGCCAAGCCATCAAATCTGCAAAGTTTATAAGTTATATTGGGGTTGTGGCAAAGACAACTGTACCTATCACGCAGAAATCTTGGTGCAAAGTTGATCAAGCCACGAAGGACATTGTTTGGGAGACTGTATCTGTAAGTTGCATTTGACTAAGTTATATTCTATTATAATATTATAAATTGATGCACCTAACATATTTATTTTATTTTACAGTCAGGATTTGAAATAGATGAGAGCAAGAAGGATTTTGTCCTTCAAAAGGCTGGGAGGGCATTACAGTCTTTCAGACATTTTATTACACAAAAATATTTGAAAAACCCTGATGCTGAATTTGTAGCCTAAGTTCCTCCCCTATTACAGCCTTCAGTAAAGCAAGAAGATTGGGATACTTTTGTTGTCTCTCGGCGCGAGAAGGAATTTAAGGTATTTATGTTTCTAAAATTTAAATTTTAGTGCCTTTTATTGAATATATCTATGTGTACTAACAGGATATTTTTGTTATTGATTAAAGGAACTGAGTGCCCAAAATAAGAAGAGAGTGGCCAAGAATGAATACCCTTACAGAGCAGGGAGGTTAGGGTATGCAGGTGTGGAGAAGAAAGAAGTTGAGGTCGAGGGATCGGATGTTACTATATCCCGCCAAAGGCTCTGGGCATTGGCACGAACAAATAAAGATGGAGTGATTGACAACCCTCGTGTGAAAGAGGTTGCTGAAAAAATTATAAGTGTTATTCTTATCTATCAATTAATAAATGATTATTAAAAGGCATACTAATTAGCTCTACTTTTCACAGGATTCCCTCTCTCAAGAAGTATCACAGGGCAAGCTTCCTGAGCATGAGGATATCTTAGCTAGAGCGTTGGGGACCCCTGACCACCCTGCTCGTGTTAGGGGTGTTGGCTTCGGTGTCACAAAGAAGCAATACTTTGACAAGATTAAGAAGCGAACATCGACTTCTTTATCCGAAGTCCAAGAGTTGAGAGAAGAGCAAGCTGTTATGAAGCAACAGCTAGAAGCCCAAGCAAAGTTAATTAACATGCTATTGAAGGGCTAGATCCCTGGGAGGCTTTTGGGTGACGTTAGCCCCAGCGGAAAAGATAGCTGCACAGTCCCTTCAGACAAAATACCCGAGGTAATGCATTTTCTTTTTTAAATTTGCTCAACTAATTTTTTATCTAAACAACTAACATTCTTCATTTATTTAGGGCGAGAATGATTGCAACTGTTTAACAAACGATCCATCACGCAAAGTAGTTGCAACGGGACGCGTGTATAACATTGTCGGGGACACAATCCATAACCTTCCCCTCCCGCCCGATTGCATTAGGGTTTCCTTGCTTGTTGCAATTGACCCCAAGTATCCATTACCTTATCCTACCGATGAGATGCAGATGGTAGGAGATGCGTTGGGGAGCTTCGTTGCATGGCCCAACCACCTTGTTATGGTTGGTATACCAAAGCTGACAAAGGACCTAAAGCCGCCAAAGGACCCCTTGCCACCAAAGAAAAAGGTATATATGATTTATATAATTATTTAAAATCTTTAATATATATATATATATGTCTAAATTTTTCATTGTATAGCCAAAGGGGAAAAGCAAATTGAAGGATAAGGTGTCAGGCCATACTAAAGAGTCAGTCATGGTTTCGCAACATGCAGTGCTTATGCCTGTTGTAGAAAACAAATTCCGTGACTCTCTTGAGACCTATGCTTCGGCTACGAGGATGATTCGTCAAGAGCCGATAGGGATATCATTAATTTTGACGATGGGCTATTTGGTAGAGCATCATTTGAAGTCGTTCGGGATGAAATTTTGAATGAAATCCTTAAGCACGATATGGCGAGCACTAGTTTGATGACTTTCTACATGAGGTAATTCTTCAACATTTATTAGTTAATTTCTTGAATTATTTATGTGTGTGAGTATGCAAGCATATTAACTTGTATATTTTTTCACCCAAGTTACCTTTATACCTCATTCGTGGTTCCTGGTGGCCTCGAGTCAAAGATCAAGCTGGTTAATCCTCATAATGTCTCTCCCCACAATAATATTACAAAGGAAGCCCTTGAAAATCAAGCAAGAATGCTTTCGGATCAATTTCGAGAAAGGGGAGCAGCGAAGATACTTTATTTCTCGCTCCTTACTGCCAAGGGTGAGTTATTAATACTTATTATGAGTAAATATTTTTTATATTTATTTGTTTAGTAACATGTGCTGTTTCTTGTTAGGGGACACTGGATGCTTATTGTGGTTAATCCCGTTGCTCCAAAAATATGGTATCTCGATCCCCTTAATGGAGAGCCAAGCAACAGGGAAGATATGGTGGTACTTTTTAATGAGTAAGTTAGATTTTTTTACTTGTTATTTCTTTTTAATTTTAGTTTTCATTCATATATATTTCTCACATTCATTCCATAATTCCTTCTTAGAGCTATGGTGTTGTATCGCACTGCGACTGATATGACTGTGTTCCCTAAGATGAGGGCATTCGAATCTTCAGAGAAATGGGTCACTGTTAAGGTATTCATTTAATTGGTCAAGTTTTTAATCAAGAAATTGTCTCATTATATTTTGCAATTTCATTGATATGTGTTTTTTTTATAGTGTCCATTCCAGCCAGATCAGAGCAATGACTGTGGTTATTGCTTGATGAAGTTCATGAAGGACATTATCACTCATGCCCCTACCACATTATCTAACAAGGTATATATATATATATATAAAATTTAATTACACTTCAATTATAAATTTTAAACAATTTTAATTAGCTACCTATTAACTTGAAATTGTTGTAACTATTTGCTTACAGTACTTCGAGGACGTCTATTGCGTTCATTATACGACTGCACATGTAGAAGAGGTCCTTGAAGAGGTGGCCCAATGTGTTTTCAATATGTGGGTAGCAACAATAGTTAGGCCGGTACAATAGTCAGTTACATTTATATACACATTTTTGGGCCAATTTTTATGGGATAGGCCACTTAATTTTGAAACATTAGTTTGCAAATAAGTTTAGATTTTAAGGTTAAATGTATAGGAATTTTTATGTTAATTAGATAAGAAATACTATTACAAACATTTATTTTTTATCTTTATCTGTATCTTTATGCAGGGGGCTGCTGTAAAAGCAGCCACCATATAAAAAAAATTATGTCATTAATACTTGACGGTTATTTCAAAATAACCGTCAAGTATCAATATAGTTGACGCTTGTTTCAAAACAAGCGTCAAGTATTTGTAAATACTTGATGGTTATAAGGAAACAAGCATCAAGTATTTATGGCCAAAAGAACATTGGCCATAAATACTTGACGCTTGTTTCAAAACAAGCGTCAAGTATTTTCAAATACTTGACGCTTGTTTTGAAACAAGCGTCAAGTATTTATTTTGAGAAGTGCATATTTACTTCATATACTTGACGGTTGTTTTCAAATAACCGTCAAGTATGAGATTAATACTTGACGGTTTTTAACTGTCAAGTATTATTTCTTTAATATATGTCGCACCCTTATTTGACGGTTTTTAACCGTCAAGTATTGGGAAAAAGAAGCGTCAAGTATGAGTATTTTCTGTGGTAGTGTTTGTAATCTCACCATCTTCCCCTCTTTGTCAAGTTGGCCAATAAATTTAGTTCTACTCATCTTGTGAAGGAAGACAAAGTAATGAATCCCAGAGGAGTGTCTCCCATTTCTTCAACAGTCATGGAAATCTGATGTGAATTTCTTTCTTCTTTAACTTTATTATTGGACCTAAATGCCCGTTGCAATTCTTGATTAAACAAATAGCAGTTAATATCCATTTCTCTTGAGATGTGAATGGAGGATGACAAGATTGAGTTATAATGGATTGTTGGAAGATAACTCTTCACATTTTGCCTTAGTGTATATTTTTAAAACATACTCACTCCATCTCTATATATAAAAAGTCTTCTAAAACTTTTTCTTGTCTCTAAATATAAGGGGTTGTTAACATTTTTTTAATGAATGGACCATTATACCATTATTAAATTAGAAAGAGAAAAAGATAAGTACTCTCATTAATTTACTTTGAAAAAATAGATTCATTTTTTATTTACAATAATTAGGGGTAAAATTGAAATGTTATTGTACTTTTAATTAGATAATCAACTTTTATTAGTTTGCATGATTCGATTAAAAATACCTTATATATAGAGACGGGGGCAGTATATTTGTTATTGAGCAAAAGATATACTTACTTGCATATTTTTTTCTTAATTTCTTTCTTATTTGCAAGTACACTGAAAGTCAAATTGGGTTGTAGTCTAGGTAGCAAAACATGGAATTACTTTATAAGTAGATATTGCAATAAGTATAAATTGAAATATTATATAACACATAAATGGTTTGATATTCTAATATCACGTATTATTAAATATCTCAAAAATTACATGAATTAAAATGAGTAAGTTTAAAAAAAGTATTTATGATTTAGACTTCATACTTTACCTACAATTTATAGATAGTCTCCTTCACATTTTGCCTTGATATATTGGTTTGTAAAATGTGATATCAGAACATGATATCAAAGCCTGATTTTAATGTCACGTGTTATATGACCTCTGCTATTATTGAATGCATCAAAGATATCATACAAATTATCTTATTAATTAAATAAAATAAAATAAGTAGAGATTGAAATTATTTATAACAAGTGGTCTCAGAATGTGGAATTACAACATGGTTCTAATATCACATGTTATAAAGAATCTCAATAATTAGACAAAATAAAATAAGTAAGTGTAACAAGTTTCTCTATTTAGACTTCACACTTTCCTTACAATTTATAGGTAGTTTCATTCATTTTTCTTTGAAGGAAAAATAGCTAACATTTTTGATATGTTGATCCAAGAGTTACAATGAGTTTTTGTATAAGAAACTAAAAAAGAAGAAAAAATTATGTGTCAAATGCTCTTATAGGATGATACCGCATCTCCTCAAATGGTGACCAGTTAACTCGAGTTATGCACAATTTAGTTGCAGATCAATTACCTACGAAAATATTAAAATCAACAGAACATGTCTAGGAAATTAAAATAATATTCAATAAAATTTGAAAAAAAATAATAAATTCCAAAAATTTCCTAAAAAATTTCCCTTTCCAAGAGCTAATTACAAATATTACTAATAATACATAGATGATTCGAAACAAGTTCTTCCCTTTCGCTCATTCTTGCCAAAAATCCCAACCACCCTAGCTTCAAATCCGTCTTTGATATTGCTAGTCCTAGAGGCACCCATAGGAGATTTTTATCCTTGAAAATGCAATTTGAGAAGACCCTTTCCCTTCTTCGCTTGAAATCCAAACAATGATGATGATGATCCATCTTGAATTCGACAATAGTAAGCCTCAACCCTTCCATAAATCACCAAAAGCCCAAATTATCATCAATCCTTTTTGTACTCACCCACTCATCAACCCTAAATCCCAGAGACACAAATGCCCATGCTTAGAGCAGTCTCTCACTTACACTCGACCTACACCAAAAAAAAAAAAAAAAGGATGTCGTCAATCACATCATCACCTCACACTCACACTTGTCGATGAGAAAAGTGACCACACTCAGCCCTCTTTTGAGAGATCACTTGACGAATCCAGCTGTTTAATCTACTAGCAGTAGTAGTTTAGTACCACATCAATTTCAAAAGTCATTTTTATTTAATAAGTTCACAATTTAACATGACTTCATTTCTATTTAAGTTAGTAGTAATTGTTGAACCTTAATTTTGATAATAATAAATTAGAGAAGATATTGTTTAACATGTATATAATTGTCTATAAAAAAAGAAATTTAAGGTACAAACGAGCTACTTAGCTTCAATATTTGATTTCAATTTTTTCTAAGTTTCTTTAAGGCTTTGTTTGGTTGAGAGGAGGGGAGGGAAAATTTTAAAAAATTTCTCCTCCCCTCCCCTCCAAAACCTCCCCCCCAATTTGGGGGGATGCCCCCCTCCCCTCCTCCTCCCCCTCCCCCTCCCCCTCCATCCCCTCCCCTCCCTTGAACCAAACAGGGTCTAAGTATTTTGTATAATTCATTTTAAACCACATTGGGTAAGATTATACCTTGTTTTAATTCTTTACTACTTGTATTGTGTTTTCTCTACCAGCATTCTTCTCACCAACCATTTATCAAAGCATTAAATGTATTTAATTGTTCATTACCTTTCTTGTCATGAGCCAAAAACTCTATCGTAAAGCACTGATCAACATCTTCATTTTTGGAGAAACTCAAAGGAAAGAAGCTCAACATTCTAATAGCTAATTTGATGAGTCTAATGGATCTATCATTGATTTCAACTATAAATAGGATTATTTATGAAGATGGACATATTCATTTCTTACCAACCTTATGTGATTTCATTTTGTATATTTGCACTCCAATGGTTGCTCTTTGAGAGGGTTTTCATTGAAGTAGATTAACTTTGGTTGACTTTGTGGAGAAAATCTCAAGTGAAAATTGAGAATTGAAAGTAAGCTCAAGTGGTTAGAGTTAAATCAAGATAAATATTCATGCACTTCTCTCTCTCTAATTAAGAACTTTGGCCTATAAATATAACCCATAATTTGTGTTTTTGATGGAGACTAAACTGACTGGTAACAAACTTAGTAAACCCTGTCCTTTGGCAATTGGTTTTACCATCGAAAATCAAAATTTTGATTTGGAAGATTTTAGTAATGCTTTGCCTACAACCCGATATTTGCCAACTTTGTGAAGCGCAAGGAGAAACAATTGATCATCTATTCTTATAAAGCTCTTTTGCCAAAGCAGTTTGGTTTGGATCTAATTTGATTTTATGAACAGATTCTCTTAGTACCAGATCCATGCTACACGGCTTGCTCATTGGATTTCTGAATATCATGAAGGAGGCCACACTTTCACTCTGTTTATCATTGATGCTCTATGGTTTTGCAGGAATCAACTGATATCTCAAAACAAACACGTTACCTATGGAAGTTATAACTTTGGCTCGACAGAATTGTCCTTTCTTTTTACATTGTAGTAGGTTCCTTGATTCACACAGTCAGAGCCAGCAACATCAAACGCCTCAACTTCCAAGACAACATGTCCTCTTGACTCTTCATTAGGTCAACTGGAATACCATATTCCGATGGAAGCTATGTTGTTCAGTGTATAAGGTCCAAAAATGAGAAGGCGTTCAAATTTTGATCATTTCTTAGCACCAAGTACTACATGAATGGTCCTCAGAAACAATCTATAAGGGGAGATTACATCTTCTGTTGGAAGCTATATGCTTTGCCCTGATGTTCATTAAGCACCAACGTTGGGTTTTCTACTTTTCGTCGATGTCTTTTTTGTTCATACTTATTATGCCCAATACTTCTTGTCTAGATTTTGTTCTAGGATTGCAATAATTGCACTTCAGCTTACATTTGTTCCAAAAAGATGTTTTGTTTTTAATTTCTGGTTTCCAAATGTGTCTATAGCTGACTTTTAGTTTTATAAATTTGCTATGTTACCCAACAAAAAATACTACTATCTTATTTATATGGAAAATTTTTGAAACTTGAAAGAAACTCAATAGAGTCAAACTGCTTATATTATATAGAAAGATTTGAGATCAATAAGATTTGCATAATTATGAAGGTAAATTTTATTACAATGAAATATTTTACTAATAAATGATAAGGATTCCTTGCATGAATGGTTTTCTTTTTTATTATGGTAATCATATTTGAGGAAAAAAATTTAAAATGAGATTGGTCAAACAGTTACATGAAAATACTTAATTAATTTATATTGATATGCTTATCTTGAACCATTAATAAAATAACTCTTTCCAGGGACAAGAAAAAAGTCTATAATTAAAAGAAGCATAATTACAAGCCTGAAGATTTACCCAAAAATTAAAAAGTTACTCGAGTGTGTACATAAATATAGCGTTTGGAAATTGATTATATATATATATATATATATGTACACATATTTCTAATGAGCTATGTCAACATAAGTTTTTACTAATAGCATTGTCTTGTTCGATTTCCTTATATATGTCGATGACTAAAGAAAGAGTTCTGGTCTCTTTGTTGATCATTTTAATCA